ATTATTTTATTTTATTTGTATTTTATTTTATTTTATTTGATTATTTTATTTTTATTTGTATTTTATTTGATTATTTTATTTAATTTTATTATTTTAATTTATTATTTTATTTTATTTTGTATTTTATTTGATTATTTTATTTTATTTGTATTTTATTTGATTATTTTATTTATTTTTATTATTTTAATTTATTATTTTATTTTATTTGTATTTTATTTGATTATTTTATTTTATTTGTATTTTATTTGATTATTTTATTTAATTTTATTATTTATTTTATTATTTTATTTTATTTGTATTTTATTTTATTATTTTATTTTATTTGTATTTTATTTGATTATTTTATTTAATTTTATTATTTTAATTTATTATTTTATTTTATTTGTATTTTATTTGATTATTTTATTTAATTTTATTATTTTATTTATTATTTTATTTTATTTGTATTTTATTTATTTTATTTTATTTTATTTTATTTGATTATTTTATTTAATTTATTTTTTTTTTTATTTTATTATTTTATTTTATTTTTATTTTATTTTATTATTTTTTATTTTATTTTATTTTTTTATTTTATTTTATTTTATTTAATTTTATTATTTTTATTTTATTTTATTTTATTTTTTATTTTATTTTATTATTTTTATTTTATTTGTATTTTATTTTTATTTTATTTAATTTTATTATTTATTTTTATTTTTTTATTTGTATTTTATTTTATTTTTTATTTTATTTTTTATTTAATTTTATTTTATTTTATTTTATTTTATTTTATTTGTATTTTATTTGTTTTATTTTTATTTATTTTTATTTTATTTTATTTATTATTTTATTTTTTATTTTATTATTTTATTTTATTTTTATTTTTATTTATTTTGCATTTATTTTATTTTATTTTATTCTATTTTATTTATTTATTTTATTATTATATTTTATATTATTTCCCATATTTTATTTATTATTTTATGTTATTTTATTTTATTATTTTTATTTTATTTAGTATTTGTTTTATTTTTGTATTTTATTTTATTATTTTAAAGACATTTTATTCAATTATTTTAAAGGTAAACTTTCACTTTTGTCCTTAACAAAAACAATAAACATTAAATATTTCTTTCTTTCTTTTCTTGTTTTTATTATATTCTTTATTCTAGAATTCTTTCATTTCTTTCCTTTGCATGTTTCCACCAAATGCCTGGTTGTTCTGATTAGGGCTTAAGTGACAACAAATATCCTTAAATATCCAGCACTTTCCTATGGCTATGTTGCCAAAGTCTGGAAGTTTTATTGATCCTTCGAGGTTTTGTACAACATAGTGTGTCAATTGTAACAGCTCAAAGCTTTTCTATAGAGGTTACATCATATAAAAGGCTGAAAATTATAGTGTTTAATGACTCAACATACAAATCCCACTTCCCTATCAGTCAAGAAATTAGATGACCGTCCAATTGCCATATTTATTACGTTTGCCCTTGAGCTTGGATGTTTATGTACACTATTTACATTATTCGGATCTCATCTTTTTGGAAGACACATTTTTTCAGGGTATTTTAGGAAAAAAAAGTGGATTTTCGTAAAGCTCGGAAAATACGATATATATATATATATATATATATATATATATATATATATATATATATATATAAAGAATTATATTATTAAGATGTGCTATATTTATGGGAGAAAGTGCTCAATATCAGAGATAGAGCGTGTAAGGTTAAATATAAAAAGGGATCATAGAAGACTCAACCAAAACTTAGAGGTGACAGTCTGTTTTTATTCGTTTTGCATTTTTAGATGCAGTGCTTTTCGTGGCGATATATATATATATATATATATATATATATATATATATAATTATATTATTAAGATGACGATTTCATCTCGCATGAAAACAAACTGTCGTCCTCTGACAGTCTGTTTTATTGACTGACGATTTCATCTTCTATGTTCACCTTTTATATATATATATATATATATATATATATATATATATATGACAATATGACTAAAGACAAAAAAGGAAAATATATCTTAGCATATTTGCCCTGATAAAGTCCCTCAGATGACGAAACGCATCTGCTAAGTTTTTAAGTTTTCTTCTTTATATATATATATATATATATGTGTGTGTGTGTGTGTGTTCATAACAAAATGAGAAATCTTTAAATGTCGAGGCTTCCTGGGATTTTTTTCTTTCTATACCCGTAAATACATATGAATTGTTTAAAAAAAATGTCATCTCTTACTTTTCTGAATAACACACCTAATTTAATGTGGAAACTAACGATTATTAGAATGTTGTTAGTTCAGTTTTCACTTGTTCACTCACACTCTCCCCAAACAGGCATGTGGAAGCTGTTGAATTAAATATATTAACTTTCTTTAATTATTAATGCCTGGGGCATTATAGATACAGTTCGACAAACCACAGACATAACAATGGTTAAGTATGATGTTTCTTTAATTTTGTAACTTTTCAATGAAGAAAATGTTTTCTATATTTTAAACCATTAGCTATTTTAAATAAGGAAGACCATACGTGTAAACGTATTTTGCTTTAGAAACCGGAAACGTTCATAGTATATTTTTTTCTTTTAAAAACTATATTTTGTATAGTAAATTGAATAACTTTGGAACAAATCAAATACAGAAGAGTTTGTCATTGATGCTGTTATCAGTGATAATATTATACAAACACTTCATTTTTTATCATAGAAAATAAATAATCCCCTAATGAAAAACAAAATCAACTTTTCCCCATTTTTTTAAGCAGAAATGATCTTCTGTAGTGAAAATGGCTGAGACACCTTCAACAAAAAATCATCTTTAATTTTTTTAGTAGTGCTGTCCCGCCTTTATAATAAGCCATATGTTATCGTCGAAAAAAGTTGCCCATTCCTGACTTAAATGAATGAGCTCTTAGAAAGAGCAACCTGACAAAAATCATATTAAAATAATTAAAGGCTAAATAAAAAAAGATAATAGAATAAACTATGTTTATTAAACTTTCTTTTGAAGAAAGTGTTTAAAAAACATTTATTAAGAGGAAAGTTACTAACACGTATTTCGAAATTTAAAAAAAAATGCTATAATAAAGCCAGATGGTTAGTAAAAAATGATTTGAATGAAATTTGGTGCCTAGAAATTTGCGTATGTGAAGCTAAAATTAATGTTGTAAAAAACCGCCAAAATTAAGCCTGACAATTTATAAAAACAGATACATCTTTCTTTTAATAATATAGCTTTTAAAACATGTAAAAAAAAAAGAAAAAGAAAATCAAGTCTGGTGGTCAAAACTCGTTTAAATAAAGTTTGTGAACAGGCGTGGCTTAAAGAGATACATTTTGGGATTTTTCAGGCAACGGGGAAAGTAAGATACAATTATAATTTTTTGTGCACCCAACAGAATTGTAATTATGTGAAGCAAACAAATGAACATTTTGTGCAAGCTTGTTATGTACATTTTATGTTAATATTATTTTTATGCCATGTGAGTTCGATCCTCACTGGGTGCTCCACAATTTCGGCCTTGTGTCACATCTAAGCTACGCTTAGAAAATCATTTGGGGCACCTTGAGGCGGTGTAATGGTTAGCAAGCTTGTCTCGCTAGAGCAATTACTAGTGAATTAGATCCTCACTAGGTACCCCATACTTTCGGCCTTGTGCCACATCTAAACTACGCTTGGAAAATCACTATAATCTAGCCAAATTCATTTAGTTCCTTTTTCTATTTTTAAGTATACCATTTTTTAAGTACTCTACATTGTGATAATGGAAAATTTTCTGATAATTAATAGCAAATGATAAAAATATATGCAAAATTGCTTCGACTGAAGAAAAAACGTGAAAATTAGAAGAATTTTACATGTTTTACCATGTTAGCAGAACTTCAGCCAAAAATCGACAATTGAAGCTATAATCAATAATTTTTTTAAAAATTCATGTGACTTCTCTGGTAAGCCGACTAAAGAGTCTCGCATCGAAATGCTCATCAGAGCCAAATATTTTATGAATTTATTGAACTTATTAATAATGCACTTTTGCCTCGGTACCTCCAAATATGAATAATTACACAAAGACTTTCTAAAAAACAAAAAATTAAAAAAATAATTGCATTAATTTCTGAATAAGTCCTGAAAAATTCATTTAAATACGACAATTATACAATTTTTGAAAGAATTTCCAAATCATTCTGACCGCAAAAAAGCGGACAAATTTTCCGTACAAATTTATAGTCCTGCTTTGACACCAAAAATATTTTAACCAAAATTTCTAAAAAGAATTAAAAAAATAACTCTACATCTAAAAATTCTTTGATTTTTCTTCTTAATTATGGCACAAACATTTTGACTATAAAAAAATTAATTTTATTGTTTTCGGCATTATTTTCATTTCATCATGTAAGATCAAACTGGCAGCTGATCTCAAATATGACCTCCAATCTGCTGTTAACTGGGACACATTGCCCCTTCTCAGACTAACGGTTTCCGCTGACATGAAGTGGAAAGATTATGTTGAATTAATTGCTAGATCTTCTAGTAAGAAAGTTGATTCCCTGTGTCGTTGCTAGACAATTTTTCTTGCCAGAATCTATCTTACACATTTATAAGTCGACTATTCTTCCATTCATTGAATATTACTGTCATATCTGGTCTGGTGCTTCTGTTATGGATTTAAAAATTCTTGAAAGAAATCCCAAGAAGTATCTGCAATGTTATCGATCCTGACCTTGCAACTCAGCTTCAGTCACTTCCCCAAATCCACAATGTGGCTTTCCTGTGCTTTTTCTCTAAACATTTTCATGATGATTGTTCAGATGAGTTTTCCTCTTTGGTACTTCGACTTTCAGAATTTAAGCGCAGTACTAGATTGGCAGTTAGGCCCCATCATTTTAGACTTGAAATGATTAGATGTAACCGTAAATTCTATGCTAGCAATTTCTTCTCTCGCACTTCGCACTTGTGAAACTCTCTTGCGGATCTTTGCTTTCCAGTCAAATTTGATCTTCAAAAACTTAAATGAAATGGCAAAAATTGTCTTTTGTCTTCCTAATCCCTGTTCTTTTATTATTCTTTCTCCTTAATAGTGTTTTTCATTTTCTAATATTCTATCGCACTCAATAAGCCTTAGTGGCTTTATCGCCTTGCTTTTGGGTGAAATGATTAAAAATTAACTTTTTAGAAAATTTTTGGCTGAATCTCTCTCTCTCTCTCTCTCTCTCTCTCTCACACACACACACACACACACACACACAAATATATATATATATATATATATATATATATATATATAGAGAGAGAGAGAGAGAGAGAGAGAGAAAGAGAGAGAGAGAGAAAGAGAGAGAGAGCAAACATTGACTCTGAGTGCCGGCAGGAGCGTACGTATATCATGTAAATATACTTTTGCCCGATGCAAAAAATGTAAGATTTTTCGAATGTCGAGTTTACTTCGAAAAAGAAACGGGTAAAAACCAGAACGGACCAATCAGGACGTAAACTGATGACCCTGAATGTGCAGTCACGTGGACATCCGACGAACCAATCAGTGACGTCACGATGCAAATGTCAGGAAACAAAAATCAGGGATTAAAAAAAACAAAAAAAAAACGAAAAAGAGATATGAGAGATTTTGTACGCTGGTTTCACTTGCTTTCTTATCATTTTCATTACAGGCCACGGAAGAAGAGATACAGGCAGAAGATTACTAGACAAAGATTATCTGGGGAAGGGATTTTCAAAAATTAAAGATCAAGCAAAAACGTCAACAATATTATTTTTCTTTCTTTCTTCAATTTTTTTGCTTTTCTTTTTTGTACCTGATTTTTTCCCTTATATTTTTCCTGTTCTTTCTTTCCCTCTCCCCCCCTCTCTCTCTCTCTTTCTCTTTCTCTCTCTATCTTTTTCTTTTTTGTTTGTATTTAATTTATTTGATCTTTTCTTTCTTTTCATTTTTTTCTTTACTTTTTTATTTGACATTTCTTTCTTGTTTCACAATTCATCTTTTCTTTCTTTCTGTTCGTTGGTGTTTCCTTTCTGTCTTTCTTTCTTTCTTTCATTAAAATTTAATGTTTTCTTTCTTTCTCTTTCTTTACCATTTCTTTCTTTTTTCCTCGTTTCTTTCTTTCCATTTCAAGAGTTCGTTCACCTCTTTTCTTTCTAATTCTCCATACACATTTGCTTTGCTCATTCACTCTTTCTTTCTTTTAGCCTTTCTTTCTTCATTTCCTTTTTTTCTTTCTTCAGTTCCTTTCTTTCTTTTTTCTTTTAGCTTTTCTTTCTGTCTTCAGTTTTTTCTTTCTTTCTCCAATTTCTTTCTTTCTTTCTTCGGTTCCTTTCTTTCTTTCTTTCGTTCTTTTAACCTTTCTTTCTTTCTTTCCTTCTTTCTTCAGTTCTTTTATTTTCGTTTAGCCTTTCTTTCTTTCTTTCTTTCTTTCTATCTTCAGACCCTTTTTTTCTTTCTATTAGCCTTTCTTTCTTCCTTTATTTCGTTCTTTTCTTTGTTTCTTTCTTTTAGCCTTTCTTTCTTTCCTTCTTTCTTTCTTCAGTTCTTTTATTTTCGTTTAGCTTTTCTTTCCTTCTTTCTTTCTTCAGTTCCTTTTTTCTTTCTTTTGGCCTTCCTTCCTTTCCTTCTTTCTTTCTTTTTTCTTTCTTTCTTTCTTCAGTTCCTTTTTTCTTTTCTTCTTTCATTCTTTCTTCAGTTCCTTTTTTTTCTTTCTTTTAGCCTTTCTTTCCTCTTTCTTCAGTTCTTTCTTTCTATTAGACTTTCTCTCTTCCTCTCTTCAGTTCTTTTCTTTTCTTTCTTTTTCCTGTTCGAAGTTTGTTTTAAAAATATTTACATTTAAGATTGAAGGCAAGACCAAAACGAGTAGAAAATAAAATAAAGATGCAGACACATTGAATGAATGTCATTTTGTGCAAGGATGTAAGGGGCCTCACACTGCCGACCGTTCGTTCTGTCAGTGCTTAACCGGCCGGCAGATATGTAAACAATGTACTCCATATCAGAAGCGACTTGCAAGGATGTGACGACAACGTCGACGGTGGAATCCGTATTTCCTTTCGACAAGGAAAAAAAAAAAAGAAAGAAAGAAAAAGAAGTGGGATCGAGATTGTATCACATTCACTGATATACACATATGAACATATGCATAATGTAATACAACCAACAAACACAGACAGACAGCACCCCCATCTTTCCAATGATATGCGTGGTGAGACTGATATACAATTACAAATATATACACATACACACACATATATATATATATATATATATATATATATATATATATATATATATATATATATATATATATATATATATATATATATATATATATATATATATATATATATATATATATATATATATATATATTGATAATATTAGTGGTTAATATACACATACATATATATATATAAAATATATAAATATATATATATATATACACACACACACAAACACACACACACATATATATATATATATATATATATATATATATATATATATATATATATATATATATATATATGTATAAAATTTCCAAGAGGATAGAATCCAGGTAGAACTCTATGTCCAGGACAGTGTAAGAATATAATGTATGTATAAATTATAACCATGGAATATTTGTGTTTAAATCTTTTTTTTATATATATATATATATATATATATATATATATATATATATATATATATATATATATAAACAGATATTTGCACCCAAAGAACTGATATATAGCATTAAACAAAACGGACGTCATACCTAAAGGTACTTTTCGGCCAACGCGTTTTCAAAAGAGATTCGTTGGCAATATTAGATTTAAATGAATACAAAGACACACTGAATGAAGTAAATGTTCAGTTTTAATTTATATAATTAAAATTTGTCTTTTAGTCGAGTTCCACCTTTACCTCCAAATTTACTTCATTAATTGTGTCTTTGTATTCATTTAGATCTAATATTGCCAACGAATATCTTTGAAAAAGTGTTACCGAAATGTACCTTAGGTATGACGTCCGTTTTGTTTATATATATATATATATATATATATATATATATATATATATATATATATATATATATATATATATATATATATATATTGAATAAATTATAAAAAAATACTATTCTTAAAAGAGTGCTCAATACAAAAGTAGACCAAACATAATTATTTATTCGAAAATTATAACATAAATATGTTATAAAATCACAAAAATAGCCATTTTGTTTCAACACTTCTGGTGTCTTATCAAGAGATGAAGACACCAGAAGTGTTGAAACAAAATGGCTATTTTATAACATATTTATGTTATAATTTTCGAATAAATAATTATATTTGCTCTACTCTGCATTGAGGACTCCTTTAAGAATAGTATTTTTTTGGTTATTGGAATTTATTCCGTATACATCCTATATATATATATATATATATATATATATATATATATATATATATATATATATATATATACACAGTGGAGTAGTGGATAACTGCTGAGATTGAGGAATCAGATAGCCGACTTTGAATTCCAGTCGAATCCATTACTTTCACTTACGTGCTAATACCCATGGAAAAGGTTTTAATCCTCTTCTTCTTTCAGCTATAAGAGACTGGGTTTTATAGCCTTGGATACGAACTGGTCTAGGAGAAGGACAACTCTGAATTCAAAACCTGCTGAGGGTTTTTAGAGACCTTGTGGCACGTGGTGCACCAGGTCGCTGTATCCGGCCCTTCAAAAAGTGTGGTTGGTTCTGCACAAAGCCTTCAAATCTTATGTACTTGTGTCTGGCTGTAGGTTTCTAGGAACTGAGCTGCTTGACCCTAATACGTCGAATACGACGGGAGAGTTCACCATATAAAACGATGAAGACAGAATCCTATCAAGTGATGGGGTTGAGTTCTACATTCTACACCATTTATATTTGTATTCACCCTATTAAGGCTCTATCTCTGATATTGAGCACTTTATGCAAAGATACTTACCTTAAACGCCCGTTCTTTCAGACTTCTACTGTCTGACAGCATTTCCGGCTTCTAACTATCTTTTGTTATCGCTATATATATATATATATATATATATATATATATATATATATATATATATATATATATATATATATATTAAGACATGTTTATGTATATACATTTTTTTTTTTTTTAGATATAAATATTTAAGTAAATGCTCTATTTGTAATAAACAGTATTAACAACATTTACCGGCCTGAATGTCCGAGAAATTTCCATACAAAATATGCGTCCCCCGACAGGAATCGAATCTGTATCCTATACGGAACCGTCATATAGCCTGACGTGCTTTTACCGATTTCGCCACAGAGGAGCCACAATTTTCCTTGCTGTCATTGGATCTAACTAACGCCTTTATCCACTGTGTCATGTGTTCTTGAGGACATCTGTGTATTAATTTCTGGGTATTATAAACCTAATGTCTTCAGAAACCATTTTTTTACCAGTGCTCATTTTGCAATTTTTGCTGTTATCATTGCATGTTTTTTTACCAGACCTCATATTGCAGTTTTTGTTATTGTCGCTTTTCTCTGGAATTCCTTATTACTGGTTCTCATATTGTATTAATTTCTATGCTTGGTCGGCTCAGGAGATTTTTGTGGCCTAGCATATGTGCTGATTCTTTAAGTTTACGAATTTTCCAATGATACCTGGTTAAGGCGGTGGAGAACATGGAGAGGGGAATTAACAGGTGATAACTGGCATTCATTAGACATGGCACGTGGAACTAGAACAGTCTACCCCAGTGAGCGAAATAAAGGCTTCAGTTCGACATTCCAACCACCTGAAGAAGGCCGGAGCGTACAACGATCGAAACGTTGTAATAAACATGGCGACAAAGATGATGACAATATTCCGAATAATATAAATAGTGTACATAATACCTGATCTCAGAAATATAGACAGATACTGAAGGGCCGAAACGTTGTAATAAATATGGCGACAAAGATGAGGACAATAATCCGAATAATGTAAATAGTGTACATAATACCTCATCTCAGAAATATAGACAGATACTGAAAGGCCGAAACGTTGTAATAAATATAGTGACAATAATGAGGACAATAGTCCGAATAATGTAAATAGTGTACATAATACTTCATCTCAGAAATATAGACTGAGAGTGCTGTTTATTTATTGTCAGAGATTATTTCCAATATACCACAGTCCTGAGAAGAGGTGGAGCGATAAAGAGATTAACTTAGTCTAATAATGAAAGGCGAAAGCACATGTAGGAGTTTTCAGGGGGTTCAAGAGACAATTCCCTTGACATCGGTAGATTATCCTGGTTGTAAACATCAAGGTCATGCATGTTAATGCTGGAATCTTTTCTGGAATAGAGATTTCATTGGTTGCAATGCCAGAAGTGAGGTTTGTTTCGAGAAATTCAAGGATATCCGGCGACCGTTTCATTACAGAAGATTCTATACTGCTAAAGTTGGAGCGAATATCACGATTATTAGGAACAATTTTACGAGTACGACAATGGAGTGACTGTTAATGATTGAATAGCGAAAAATTGATTAGAAAAGAAAGAACTAGGAAATAGAAAGAAAAAAGAAAGAAGAAAGCAAAAGTGAGAGAAAGAACAAACGGAAAAGAGAACTAGAAAGAAAGAAAGAAAGAAAGAAAGAAAGAAAGAAAGAAAAGCTGAAAATGATAAAGAGAAATGGCAAAGAAAGAAAGAAAGGTCAAATTTGAAGAAAGAAAGAAAGAAAGAAAGAAAGAAAGAAAGAAAGAAAGGTCAAATTTGAAGAAAGAAAGAAAGAAAGAAAGAAAGAAAGAAAGAAAGAAAGGTCAAATTTGAAGAAAGAAAGAAAGAAAGAAAGAAAGAAAGAAAGAAAGAAAGAAAGAAAGAAAGAAAGATATAAATCACTAAAAAAAATCTGGCAAAAAGAGAAATACTTTTTCGTCCGGCCAACTCCGATAATCTCGTTTTCAATGGCTTATGAGATTATCACGATAAGCTACTGGACAAACACAGACGATCTCAATTATAATTGTTTATGCAAAGACAAAGATGGTTGATTTGTCTTTAGAAGTACCTTTAATGAATTTTTTAAGAAGATTTTTTTAATAAGATATACATTGACGCTCGCAACGATATTTTTTAATTCGATATACACTGACACTCGCAATAATATTTTTTAATAAGATATATATTGACGTTCCTTAATCAATGTGCCTAATATAATGTAAAACCTACTGTAGCCTATTTAAGTAAATGCTCTGTTTATAATAAACAGTATTAACGACATTTACCGGCCAGAATGTCCGAGAAATTTTCGTAGAAAATATGCGTCTCCGACAGGAATCGAACCTGTATCCTATACGGAACCGTCATATAGCATGACGTGCTTTACTTAAATATTTGTATCTATAAAAAAAAGAAAAAAAGAAAAAGAAAAAGAGAACGTATAAACATAAAAAAATGTCTTAAAATAATTGTCGGACTTTGTCCCTTTCATAATGTATATATATATATATATATATATATATATATATATATAGAGAGAGAGAGAGAGAGAGAGAGAGACAGAGAGACAGAGGGTCAGAGAGAGACAGACAGAGAGAGAAAGAGTAATAATGGCATAGAAATAACCTACCTAAGTAAAAAAAATAATAATTTTCTTTACATTCAAACTATTGTTTCCATCGTTGTTGTTGTTGTTATGAAAGCGTTTTGGTCGTTGTGCTCTCATCATGTGATTGACGGTCCGGATATTCTTAACACTTTATTTAATCTATGGTGTTCTCATTCCGCGGTCCATGTCCAGGGATATTTCGTCTAGTTCTTCTTTGGTATTGCTCA